GGTGCATTGATGTACTTGATGACGGGAACAAGACCAGATATTGCATATGCAGTTGGAGTAGCATCCAGAAGTTTAGAGAAACCCAGCAAGTCCAGTGTAGCACAAGTTAAGCAAATTTTCAGATATTTGCAAGGCACAGCTGATGTCGGTATTGCTTACAAGTCTGGTCAAAACAATACACTTATAGCCTACAGTGATGCAGATCATGGAGGAGATAAATCTAGTGGAAGATCGACATCAGGTGTAATCTGTATGTTTGGAGGAAGCGTGATCAGTTGGTTTAGCCAACGTCAGCCCTTAGTTGCGATTTCAACTACTGAAGCAGAAATCGTTGCCGCAAGTGAAGCAGCTCGTGAAGTGATATGGCTCAAACGATTGTTGAACGACATCGTAGATCTAAAGAAAAAAACCAGAAATTTTTGTCGACAATGAAGCAGCAATTCGGTTAGCACACAATCCAGAACTTCACAGAAGAACAAAGCACATCCACATTAGACATTTCTTTGTCAGAGAAAAAGTTGCAGAAGAAGAAGTTTCAGTTGAACGAGTTGCGACAGAACTTCAAGTTGCTGATGCTCTGACAAAACCAATGGTAGGACCAAGACTAAAGAATCTGATGTGTGCGATGGGTCTTCAGAACATTTAGGCTAAGGTCATCTAATGTTTTAAATAAAATGAGAAGGTGTTAAGTTTTATGTTTTATATTAAAACATTATGATTTATAATATACATTTATTTTCTTTGGACCAAATGTTCTTTGCTTTGTATGTAACTTCACTCTTCCTTTTCTGTTGATCCGGTTGATAATAAACAAGTCGAGAACGTTGCAAAGTTTATTTCTTGTCTATTAATGTCTTTCAATATTGTATCAATTAATTAAGCGATCTACGTAATAAGAAATTTAACATTTTGTACTGTCTAGATTAGACTATTGCAATTCGTTGCTGTATGGTGCTGGTGTGGGGGTTGTAAATAAAATTCAACGAATCCAGGATGCTGCCGCCAGATTGGTCTAAGTAGACGTAATCACATTACAAAGTGCTTGGAAAGTCTCCACTGGCTGCCGGTCAAGGAACGGATTGGATTTAAGATGGCCGTGGTGGCTCATGGTTGTGTACATGGTGGTGGCCCAGAATATCTGAAGTAGGTTTTTCGCAAAAAAACTGAAGTTGATGTGGAACATGCATTGCGTTCGGTTTTGTCAGAAATAATGGTAATTCCTAGGACCAGGACAAAACTGGGTGACAGATGTGTGCAGGTTGCTCCGTCCAAGGTATGGAATGATTTTCCAACAAAATTGAAGCAAATTCTTCCAGGAAAAGATTTCAGAAAAGAATTAAAAAGTTATTGGTTCAACAAAGCATTTAATCACGGTACAATCCTTTGAGAAATGTCAATAGAGTGATAACATAATAACATAATAATAATGATAGCACACACACGCAAGCCCAACATGCACGCACCTACACAGACTTGTAACATACTTTTAACCACAAACAGTAAACAAAGAAACACTGTATCGTCTCATAAAATTACAGAAAAATGAAAAAATAATCGAATGTGAAAACTAAAAAAAAAAAAAATGAGCACATTAAGAAGAACGACTTGGAACTACGAGATATTAATTCTAATTTGCTTTTTTTTATATACTTTTTATTGATTCTGATAAATTTGTAATTTTTTTATAAACACATTAGATAATTCAATTAATTTTAAATTAAATTAAGAGCATGAGGCAGGTGCTAATAACGATTCATCAAGTCAGCATTCAGCAGGCAGGCACAAAAATACAAACATGCGTCAAAGTTTCCATTTCAACACCCACCACCTTTCTAGAAACGGATATTAAAACTAATTTTGACAGACGTTAAAATAGTATTTTTTCAAAAAAAGTTGTCAAATATTCATTTCATGAAAATTTTGGAAATAAATAATATTTAATTATTAATAAATAAATATATTTCTGGCAGGGTAGAGCTTTTCAGATACAAGTAACCCAATGGACGCGAGGCGATATGAGAGTCTGTGTGCGATGCCAATGGACCGCCACTTCCATCTCTATTATAACTATTCATTTTTTATGGCCATGTCATGAGAATTGATAACTTTAATTTATTAAGAAATGGTTTAGTTGATAACCATAAAAACAAACAATGTAATTAGCAAGAATGCTTTAAAAAGCAGATATTATAACAAGATAATTATTTTTTTTATTATTGCTGAAAAAATCAAAATCTGACGGATGCAGAAGACGCAGAAACTGTTACAGCATGCAAGGCAATGGTATAAAATGATTAGGAAAAATAGATAATTATAGACATATTTTGTCTCGTAACGACAGATTGACAACTCTATATTAACGCATGAGTTGTTGCTTTTCATGGCTTTATAACTTTTCGTTTTTATTCGCGGAAAACTTTCGAGATTGTCACATGAGCAAATATTTTAACAAAAAATATTCAAATGTTATTTTATAAAGCCACAAAAATAATTTATTAAAAAAATTTTTTCAACAAATAATTGTTTCAAATTATACTTATCTCGCTTCAAGAAATATAAAAATAAAAATTTCTTAACAAGTCAAGCGAATCTAATGTTTGATGTTAAAAGCATCATAAATTTCTCTTCACATCATTACAGTCAGCAAATAATGTTTAAATTAATGTTTTGAAAAAGTTTGTCGATGCTGCACGAGAATTGCTGATAATTGTAGTAGGTACAATAGAATAATTTGAAAAAGAGGAATTGTTTTCATGATGTCGGTGCATCTAAACTAACTGCAGCTTGCATCTGAAGATGAAGACCATCAAAACGTTTGCTCGCTGATCGTCGGTAACTTCAGAGATTGTTGATACAGTATACTCTCTACTATAAAAATTTTCTACCATCAAAACTACAATGTCATTTTCGATGATGTACGGAGTTTTAAAATATGAAAACTGCAATAGCCGCAAATTTTTGGCCAAATATTAGGCAGCTAATTTTTTCTTCAATGTCGACACTAACTACTTTCATTACTGCTACTACTTTCATTAGTTTTAATTGTATAATATTACTGCTTCCATAGCTGTTACTACTACTGCTACTAATAGTAACAATAAAAATGTTGTAACAATACAAATGTTTAGATTTCCACTAAAGTATATACACAGGATAAGTATATTGTTCTTACGTATGTACGGTACGAACATACGCACTCACAGACACCAAGTTCCACATACAAATAGTCGTGCAGTTGGTTATGCCAACAAATCTTTTCTAGGCAAATTGTGATGGAAAAGATAGCGCAACAACCTTTATTCTCTATCTTTCTACCTATCTTTCTACCTACCTTTCTACCTACCTACCTACCTTCCTACCTACCTACCTGCCTCATGGCTTCTCCTTTATATTGAATTTTTACGAGCTATTTGTTTTTGAAGATTTGTTATTTCCACGTTAATTTTGTATTAATTTGTTATAATTAATTAATAACTTATCATTATGTTTTGATCAATGGAATTTTGCGGTTTAAAGCAACGTGGGAAAGCTGATGTTGACGTGATTGTTGTTGTTGTTGTGTGGCGCATGAGTTAACTTTTGATCAACAAATTATCAAAACCATTCAAACATGGCATAAATTTATAGAGAAATAAAGACAATCTCGAATTGAATATAACATCTTCCGAATTGTGCCATGACATGACAGATGTTGTTCCTCTTAATAAGTCATATCGAGAATGACGTCAGCCAGGATTGATGAACAACTCGAACGTCAGTGTTGGAAAGAAATTGAGAAGAGGATTGTGAGACAAGAATGACGACGTTATTAACCTACGTTCCATGCAACTGATGCAATTTCATGTGAAATGATGTTCTAGAAGAGATAACATTGATAACACAGCACATGCAAACTAACAACAAACTAACATTTGCACATGAAATCAATCAATGTACACACAGACGCAGATCTATATGTGCAAACCAACACATACACACACACACACACAAACAAACAAAGAAACATTTATGCACGTCAACAATGCAAGACAGTTTTTCAGAACCCACACACACTTCACGCACGGATACGTCCAAAGAGTACAGTAAATAAACACATAGCTATATAAATATAAACACTCACATGAAAAAATACACACATATAAACAAAAGCATACACACATTTACAGAAACACACATAAACAAAATGTGAACCTAGCGACAAAGAATTTAATTTTTCGGATTGCTCTGATTGCAGCTTTGTGAGTTGAAGTGAGGTGAACCACTCGTTCGTTCAATGAATCGTCGTCAGCAGTCGTCGTCGCCGTCGTTGTTGTCGTCACAGTGGCTGCCATGAAGTTGCTGCTTTGTCGATCGTTAGAAGAACCTGATTTTAAATTAAGTTTCAAATAAAAATAATGATTGAGAATTTGATTTTAAACAGGAATAAAGAGAGCATGGTCGAGTGATCGCCAATGAACCTTCGATTAGCGTCCAAGTGTGTTGCACCAAATTACTGTGCACGCATTTTAAACACTTTCTACAACAGATGAATTTTTAGTTTTTAATGATCGAAAATGCTCTCTAATGGTAGAACCCATTATACAAACTCGATGCTGCTGTTGTGTGTTTGTTTGCAATGCTTGTTCACTCATTTTAATCACGTTCTTGCTTATTCGTGCTCTTTCCTGCTAGCACACACACACATCATTTTTGTTTCACTTTTTAAAGAACATCTTATTAGAAGTTCATGGGAGATGGTCGAAAAATGCCATAGTCAGAAAAATTGTTCAAGAAATTATTGAAATCATTTTTGTTTTCATTATAAGATTTGGTTTATCGTAGCAATTCAACTGTTTTTTTTTGAGACAGTGTTTTTGAGAAACATTTTGTTTGTAATTAGCGCTATACAAATTTTCGAATAATATTATTATTAATAATAATAATACATACATACATACATACATACATACATACATACATACATACATACATACATACATACATACATACATACATACATACATACATACATACATACATACATACACACGTTCATTCATACATAAACACACTGGCCCATATTACTTCGGACATTCCGTATAATCAACAACCTTTGAAATTTTTTTTCATGATCACAAGTCGCCAAGCAAGTGAAATGTTTGAATTTTTAATGTATGAAATCTAAATAATGTTGTTTATTTTCAGTTTTAAAAAATTTATTAGAGTCAAAATTGACGTATATAAGAAAAACTTAATATAAACTTGAGTTTTCTATTCAATAAAAAAAACTTGAAGCTTCCAAAAATAAATAAAAGTAAGCTAAGTTGGTTTATAGAAGTTTGTTGACACGAGCCAACAGACCAACTGACGAAGCACGACCACCAGCCATTTCAACACGTCACAAAACATTCAAACACGCACACACACGCGTACAAACGCGCAGTAACATAGTCTAAGCATCAACTCAGACAATGACAGGAACAACAACAACGCAGATAACAGAATAAACGACACACAAAATAATGTGACTGCGCATGTGTTGCTATCAGCCAATCTACAAGCCAGCCAGCCAGCTAACCAACTAACCAACCAACCAATCAACCAACCAGCCAACTAACCAGCCAGCCAGCCAGCACCAAACAACCAATCAACCAACCAAACAACCAAACAAACAAACAAGCAACCAACCAATTAACCAACCAAACAAGTAAACAAACAATAAACCAACCAAACAATCAATCAACCAGTCAGCCAATTAACCAACCATCCAACCAACCTTCAGCTGTGATGACGTCATTCAAACGTGCTCCCTCCAAAACAACAACATCGTGAAAACTTATGTGGCTCCTGTATGTTGATGTTGTTGGTTGGTTGCGTGTGTCTGTGTTGTTGTTATTGCTGTGTGTTTGTGGTTGGTCGTGTGTGTGTGTGTGTATGTTTGGTTGGTTGTGTGAGTGTGTTGTGTTGTTGTTGTGTCTATGCGTTGTTAGTTGTATGTGCTGTGTGTGTTACAGTTGGTTGTGTATGTGTGTGTGTTGTGTTGATGTTGTGTGTGTGTTGTGTTGATGTTGTGTCTTTGTAGTTTGCGTGTTTGTGTTTGTGTGTGTGTTTGGTTGGTTATGTGTGGTTGGTTGTGGTTGGGCTGCAATAGTTATAATGATAATCATTGTGAATGCGGCAATGATGAAGATGATTACAGCGACAATTAGAAGTTTACAGCATATAATGATGAACTAAAAGACGAAACAATTATTATTATTATTGTTATTATTATCATTATCATTATTCGTTTTTAGGTATTCCTCAGAAGTTATTATAACAAACATAGAGTGTATAAATACAAGCGAATCAATGCATCAGACACTTTTACATGGAATAAGGGGGAATCACTTTGCATTTGAACGCGGGCACTGCGTCCACAATGCCAAGCACCTTAACCATTACACCATGGCGCCGCATCACCGTATGGCGAATTATCGTTGAGTTTCTAGTATTTTTAAGACATTTTAATCCCAGATATAATCACTAAAATCATCACTATGATCATCATCACTCTCATCGCCACTACTTCTATCATCACAAAAATATCTCACCAATACTTTTCTCGTTCATCTTCATCATCATCATCATCATCATCATCATTTACGTCATAACTATCATAGCCAAAGTCATCGTCATCACCATCGTCATCATCATCGTCACAATTTTCCCACAAAGACATTAATTCATTCAAGTCACTCGTTTATCCAGGTATTTAAATATGCACACGCATCCTTCATCATCATCACTATCATCATTATCATCATCACCATCATCATCACCATCATCATCATCATAACCATCACCATCATCATCATCATCACAATCACCACCACCACCATCATCATCATCATCATAACCATCATCATCATCATCATCATCATCATAACCATCATCATCATAACCATCATCATAAGCATAAGCATCATCGCCACGGAACGAATGAGTGCCACTAAAAGATGAATAAAAAATTTCTTAAAACAAACAAGAGTTATGATCACGATGACAACATTAACACTTTGTAAAATTAATAACACATTCAGAAAAACATAACTTGTGAATTTAATATAACAACACTTGCCTGCATATGAACGCACGAACGAACGAACGAACACAAACAAACACATCCATACAGGAACATGCATGGGTTCAACGTGCTGTGCAATTTTAAAATGCGAACACGCCAACATGGTAGAGAAGGAGATGATTAGACATTAAAATGCTACGCTAACATGACACAAGGCAAAATAAACTGACAAGAAGACAACAGAAACAAGCCCCATAAACCTCCAGAAAAACACACAAAATAAAGAAGTCCCCGACGCACTCCACAAACATGCAGTCCCACCCAGACAGCAGCGAGCAAGCAAAACTACAACATGACCTGACCAGACTGAAGAAGCAGGCAAAATGAACTAAACCACTAACAACAACGCCGATCAACCATTCACAACATTCGTAAGTATTCAACATTACGACCAGCTGTGCAAGTGTTACAATTTTTAATGTCTCTATACGTCAACAACAATATAAACAAATCAAAATATATACCTATAAATAAATAAATAAATATTTATTTTTTTATATATGAAACACATGTAAGAATACGTATATCTAAGACGTTAGAGCAGGGCGAAGTGACACCCAACAGGATAACATCGGATGCATGAAAACACATCCTACTAGAGCACTGAACCTCAAATAAACACACGTAGCACAGCAAACATCCTTCCAGTCAAATATAAACTGCTGCCACTCGGCTGCAAGTTCTGGACCACCAAAACGATGAATAAACAACTCAGAAATAAACAAACAACAAAATGTTTGAGAACAAACCAACACACACATGCACGCACACAGGCATAACACACACACACATACCTACACATCCACAAACAAATACACGCAAGCCCACATCATACAAATACGTACAAACAAACAGTCAGGCACCGACTGACAGACGGACACACATACACGCACACATACATGCACACATACATGCACATATACACGCTCACATATACGCATACATACACGCACACGTACTGCAAACACACTATGAATTATGACGCACGATTTCGAGTTAACAATCAAATGTCGATGTTTATAAATACCGTTAGAGTATTTTTATCATCACCATACATAATAACTACTTCTTTAACAAGACACAATGTATCATCATCATCATCATCCTTCTCCTCCTCCTCATCATCATCACCATCATCATCACCATCACCATCATCATCATCATTATAATCGTCGTCGTCGTTTACAACACACATCTGCAACAACAACGAGTGCACTAACAACAACAACAAATACCAGCACATATTTAACAAAAGGACAGAAACTAACAACAACATCAACAATAATAATAAATAACAACAATGAAACAACATACAACAACAACAACCTACAACAACAATATCAACAATAATAATAAATAACAACAAACAAACAACATACAACAACAACATACAACAATAACAACAATTACGACAGAACTGTTGCAAAGGCCTCATGCAATGCAGCTCCAGCAACAATTGAAGCGTCCCACAGCAGCACATCATGGCTCTTCAAATCTTCACGTGCCGGTTCCATTAAAACAAATCTGATCCTATTATACCTCCTACCATGTAAAAAGAGTGTGCGTGCTAATTTAAGATACAAACAAACAAACAAACGAACAAATGAACGAACGAACGAACAAACAAACAAAACAACAAACAAACACACACACACACACGGACAGACAAATAGATAGATAAACAAATAAATAGAGATATACACGCACATGGAAAAACAAACATGCAAATAAGTAATAAGGTGATAGATTAGGCATACACGTCCAATAACAATAACAATAATAGTTGATTCGTTATTATTGTTCTAACTCTGTGTACTTACTGTACACTATTGTACACCGTACTTTCATGTTATAACTTTTGCATCATCTCACTGATGATGAAATGATTTCGTGATGAGGAATTTATGATGATGACTTGATGATGATATGATGATGATGTGATGATGATGTGATGATGATGATATGATGATGATGATATGATAGTGATGATATGATGATGATGATATGATGATGATGATATGATGATGATGATATGATAGTGATGATATGATGGTGATGATATGATGGCGATGATATGATGGCGATGATATGATGGCGATGATTTAATGAGGATTGTTAGCAGCAATGACGTTATTTATTTTTATATATTCTATGATG